TATATATATATATATATATATATATTGAAAGTGGAAAAACCATTCTAACAGATAGGCAATGTAGCAATGGTTATAACTTTATTATGTGAGTTAATAAAAAATATTGGAATAACTTTCTACTTCGGGGTGTATGTGGGGATAAAGAGGTTGATATCACTTCCAATATCGTCATTTTGTAATGCAAGACTTGGTTAAAATTGACCCATTGAGGCGGTTCATATACTTATATTATTTTTATTAAAATAGTGCCATAGGGCATTCACATTTTTAAATTTACGAAAAACAGTTATATTGCAAAGTGGCACTAATATTTCTTGCAAAGCTACTTTAAGATATCGACGAAGTTAGACTTAGTGGTATTCTACATAAGCTAATGGTCACCTTGAAGACTAACAAGGGTTAAAGGCTTTATCGATGAGTAGTTCAGGATTTTAATAGGACTTAGTATATACTGAATCAATTCAGAGAAATGGACGTAGCAACGATTTAGGAATAGAAATGGAATTGGGAGCTCTAGAGAAGTAGGCAAATATGGGCATTAAACGACGAGAAACCAATTTTACCTCTTTTCTCCAGTAGAATAAAAATTTAAGAAAGTCATCCGATTATTGGAATAAACCTTAATTGCTAGTTACAATCAAAGGATGTAGCAATTGCTTTAAATTCGGAGTATCGACAATTCAGAATAAAACACGTCAAGGCAAAGTAGGAGCTCGATCAAGTACTTAAATCATTTTAATATAAATAACCTCCCACTAACCAAATTGCTTTTCAGAAAAGTTTACACTAAGCTTGGAAATATATTTATTGAATGTAATTGGGTTTCGCACAGAATAAAGGACAATTTGTCAAGAATATGGGTAAAAGGTATTGGGTGTAGTATTAGTTAAAATGGGAAGCCACATTGAGATGAAAATCCGATCAGGTGCGAAATATTTAAGGTACAAGTTTAAAATAAGCTGCATAAATAGAGCAGAAGGAGGAATGGGTAAAAGGTATTAGCCTTTATCAACTCATGAAAATTAAGCGCCTAGAGTTGTTCAAAAGTGCCATTTCTGTTAATTGAATTTTATATTGATTTCCGCTTAAATGTCTCCCAAACATTTTTATGCATACTACCTAACTTGAACCAATAAATAGTCATTGATGTTTAAGAAATAAAGAATTTCTAGAGAACAAATTTAACTCCTTGGACATTAGAAACGCGCTTTCTGCTTAATTATCAACAAGGCCAGAATTCGTTGACTTGTTTTATTTAACGCAATTAAAGTATATATTAGTTTAAGAAGAAAACACCCTATTGTTTATACGCCTTTTAATCTAAGCTGCGATTATCATAGGGATCCATGTCTATAACAGCACGAGTTGAACAAGCCGCTCCAGCATTAGTTAAAAGACTGTCCACTTCTTTGTTGAATTTTTGGGCTTGACAGATGTTATTCCATTGATAGATAAGGACATAAGCTGGTCTGCCGACACCTCTGAATCGCGTCATGTTTGTAGTTCCAGCAACAATTAAACCACCATTATTACGGACAACTTCCTCAAGGGCATTCAAGTACTTCGTAAAGTTCACACCATTCTTTATATCGTAGAAGTCAATTTGCAAGATATTCCAGTCTAAAATGACAGAAAAAAGACGAATATAAGTCGTTTAATACAACAAGGGATAAAATTTGCATTGGACTAAAAACTTGCCATTCATGTTCTTAATAGGATTACATAGTGGAACAATGTACATTTCAGGAACTCCCATCCAGTCAGATTCACGTATTTGAGTTTTCGACTGCAAACAACTCATAGCTTCATGTTCGCTGTCGAAGCTGAGTACAGCAACACCAGAGTTCAGTGGAAATGTACCTTCAAAACATTTCACACATTTCGAAATTCCTAGGAACTCGCCATGACCGTAGGCTCTAAATACCGGAATATTGACTATCATTTCATTGCGGAAAGCACCATAGTAGTTTTCTGCTTGGTCAAAGATGATAAGAACTATAGTTTGAGAGGTGTTTCTGGGAATATTCTATAATAGAAAACAAATGAATTAAGTTGCGTTAATTGGATTTATAAATTATCATTAGCACTTCGCGACTTACTACATTGTTGATACACTTCACACTTTTTGAGCCCACCCATGCGGTAGAGTTGGAAATATTTTTATCCTTATTTTCTTCCATCACGGTAGTATAATTTTAATGCTGAGCTCAAAACAGTGATATTTGTTTACGCGAATTGGAGTTTATCGATCGCAATCAGATGGCTAATGCGCTAATTTAACTAATTGATTTATGAGTTTTGATAGATTTTGTATAAACTTATAAAATTAAGCGCAATTTATTAATGGAATTTTATTTCCTAAATCGAATGGCTGATATCAAATACAGCTCGTGACAAGTTGCAGATTGATTCGAATGCAGTGGCAATCACTGAAGATACCTTAAGAATACGATATAATGGTTTTATATTTTGTAATTTAAATACTAGTAAATAAATGCAATATTAGCATCTTGTAGAAATATAAGCAGATAATTTTAACCCAAAAATTAGTGTAATCTAGAATTTAATTTTGCACATGAACACTAAACTTGATGGCAGTGTAAATGAACATTGTTTGCCTTTCAAAAAGGGTGCCTTTATAATGATTAAATGATTAGCAATGGCTTTGATTTTCATTGTCTGAACAAATCTTTTTTTAACCAGACAAAAATTATTTCAAAACTGTTTTTATTCAAGATAAAAAATGAGTGCTAAAGATGTACTCATATTCTATCAGTAAACAAGATATCATTTTCTGCTCGAATGTATTTAATAATATCAAATGTCATGAAAGCCGAGAGTAAAATACCATCCATCAGGTAGGGTCGTTTATAAAAGTTTGGTAAACTATTTTTTTCATAACAGCACATATGCTCGGCCTGTCACCAAAAGTAGTCATTAAACTGCAAAATAGCTTTTCTCTTTAAGAGATAACAAAGGCAGCTTGACCTTCATAAGTAAGGCGATTCTTTATTTGTTGAAAATTCAAATCAAGGAGATCTAATAAATTTACAGTATTCTTTGTCCAGAATCATTGTTTACTTATAGAAAAATAAAAGTTAAATAAGTAGAACCATCACTCCTTGAATGGTATATAAAATAGTATAAATGGTAATATAAGGGGAAATAGTCGTTTATATAAATTTACAAGAAAACTTTGCCAAAGTTTAACTTATGTAATCGAAAAGTTGACGCCGCGGTAATTTGAATAAATCAGGATAGAGTTCGCTTTGTTGCTAAAGCTTATTAATAAATATAAATGATTCATTCTAAAAATTTTAATACATCGTTCCCAAAACGAATTAATGCTGCAATCAAAAGACAACAAAATGCGTTGGGGAAAGTCCAACCCTTACCTAGTATTTTAATTCAAAACAATTTATCACATATTGGAAATCTGCCAAAGATTAGGGAAAGCGCGTTAAATCCATCTGAAAAGGCAAGTAATGGCAGTAGCTTTTCAAAGGAGAATAGTATCTCTATGATTGACTCTGATTCTGCGTGCTACTCGGGAGATAAATTCCTTTCTAATGCCAATTTTCTGGTACTTGATCTATCTTCGAATGACCTTCGTTATATCCATGTTTCTACAGAACCCTTTTTAAAAATCGAGGTTGTTTAAACCTAAACTAACTCAAAATTTGCTTTAAGTATCTTTTAATTGCCACGTATTTTATAGTAGAAATTAGATTTATCGGGAAATTTTTTGGATCCGACGGTCTTCATGGATCTGAAAAATCTACCGAATTTGCGAATGCTTAATCTATCAGAAAATGGGCTTTCCTTCATTCCTAATGGAATATGGTATAATCTTATTGCGTCTTATCCATAATTCAAATTTATCTCAACTTTCATGCATTCTTTTTAAGTCTTCGTAAACTTGAGGAATTGAATGTGGATGGTAATAATTTAAGCAAAGCAAGTGATATCGCAAACCTTGCTCTACTTCCAAGGTCAGCTAATTATTTTCTTTTTTCTAAATGGTATTTGATTTAGTCTGCGTAAACTTAGTCTAGCAAATAATGAATTTTCAGCTTTTCCTATTCTAAGAATCAAAAGAAGATTTCCCCCTGATTTTAAGTAAAATCAATTTTGTTTTTATATTTTGCCAATAAACTAGAAAATCATTTAAGCAAAATAAGCATGATTTGCAATCATTAGATCAAACTGCGCAACCCGATTGTAAAATAGATTTTGAGGATATAGTATCCCCGAAGAGTATTAAAGCTTTACTGCGAGAATTTACTCGAAAACTTGAAGTCTGCAATTCGACTCCCATTCTGGAGATGCAGAAGTCCACTCCTCATAGAACAACTAATGGTGAAATAACAAAACCGTTAAAAGCACCGACTACTTATTCGACATTAGCAAAAGCCAATTTTATATTTCCGAAATTGGAACACTTGAACATGTCGGAAAACATGGTAATGTACAGCAAAAATTTTATGTATTTCTATTTAGTGTGCTATTATTTTAATTACTCTTTTTTTAAAACCTGCAGATAAATTGTGAAGAATCTATTCTTACTGTGATTGTCTGTCCAAACTTGAAAATTGTACAAATATTCGGAAATCCTTTAGTTGATCAATATTCAAGTGCTCCACCAAAGATCCTGACAATCCTTGTCAAAACTCTTGGAATGTCAATTGAATGTGAACGATCTGGTACTTGGGGATTCTGTTCTGCAAAATCCGACTCCATTAGGCCCACTCCATCTCGTAAAAATCAGCTGAAATCTTTGAATTTGAAGACTAAAAGTAATGAAACGAATGCAAACGTGAAATTGAAGCCCGAAAGTGCAGAAAACGAAAAATTCAACAAATGCCCATTATTATCACAAATCGAAATGCAAGGAGATTATAATGCGTTATCAAAAGGTAATTTTGATCCCAATATAGCAATTATCTTGGACTTTTAAGCAATCACATTTATTTATATCAAATGGCAGGCGTTTTGATGGTTACCATTAGCTCTTTAGTTGACTTCGGGCTTCACAGAGGGGAAGGAACATCAAAGTGTAAAAAGTCGAGTGTGGGGGGAGGGGGAACAGAAGAGTGTTTCAAAGACGAAGGTAGAAAAGGTGGAAAAAAGGTGAGGTGAGTACTGTGGAAGTAGTCGAATATGACATACAGTGGGGTGATGGTAGTTTGAAGTCTGAAGTCAATTGCCGGCTTATGGACTTTTTTGTCGTATGAGTATACGTTACCCAAGGTGCACCACGTGGAGGTAAATCTATCGCACACCCCTTAAGCAAAAACATAATATTTCAAGAAGAATTTGTATTTTAAGTCCAAAAAATATTTTCTTCAAATAAAAGGAACTTCTTGAAATATATGTTAGTCCCATCCCTTTTGTGACCTAATACCAACCCAGTTTTAGTAGTGATCCTGCCATATTACTATCTTTAAGAAAACCCACTGAAACCCTCTTTAAAATATGATTTATATTTATTTATTTATTTTTAAATTTCACCTTCCTTTACTAATCTTTCTCGAATCTAAGATGTTGGGGGGCAAAATTGGACATTTCTAAAGCTCTATTAAATGAAGGCATATTAATTGATTATGGAATCCAATACTTGAACATCGATAGTGCTTTGATTATTGAACATGTCTGCCATGCTTGAGGTTCATCGACACTCGCCCGATGAGTAAAATGGCCAAATG